TCATTCTGATTAAACTTTGTGATATTTTTGTTTGTCGTTATTTGCATGAATTATGTGTTTCCAGATTTCAATTTTCAGTTATATAACGGACGGTAGATCACGTACGATATGAACATCTATTTTTATAGTTGTTCCCAGATCAGAACTCCGAAGGGCTAAGTAGACAACCAGTGCACCTAAGGGGAAATACTCTGATGGTTACTAGAACTTCAATTGCACCTTAGTACTGCTTTGATTGCTAGAACTTTATTTGAAACCGTTGTTTGTGTATTATATCTGCTTACTATGGTATCTGTTGTTTAATTTGAATGTTCGTAGTATATAGACTCCAGGTGACCCCGTTGATTATTATTATGCTCACCCCCCAAAACCAACCTTTCAGGTTAAGTAGTTGGATAGGCGGCATTGGAGGCAGAGCGGTGTCAGTTTATTGTTTATTCGGTTATTTATTTCTAACATTGCAGTCCTTTTTCAGTATTATTTTTCCATGTCGAGACATTGGATTTATGAGATGATTGCCTGTTTGATTTGAGGATAACGAAAATTTAATATTTTAAGACTTAATGCATTTGTGAGTTTATTGCATGTCTCCGGTCAGCTTGAGAGTTAAGAGAAAAGAAGGATAAAGAAAAGAGTTAGAGTTTTCAAAAAAAAAAAAGAGTTTTATAAGTAACGACCCAGAAAAAAAAAAATAGAATTTTTCATGTTATAGAAAAAGTTTTAAATTTTCTGGAAAATATTAGTCTTTTCTTATTATGAGAAGTGGGCGTTATAGTCTTGAAAATCCGGAACGAAGATAATGGATGTATGACAATGTTAGGAGATGCAACAATAAATTATGATAGAAAAGATATAAAGATAGATGGGTATCTTTAATAATAAAGATGTTATTTTTCCAAAGCTTTTTCAAGTAAATTTTATTTTTGAAATAATTATGACTTTAAAGACATTTTCAAATATTTATGTACTTCTATGTTATTATGACTAGGGAATATATAATTATATATATCTAAGTATTATGAAATATTATACTTGTAACTTGCAACCACTGTAATCAAAATAACTGAGAATGAATTATTCAGACATAGTTTGTTAGTTGCCAATCGACAATGAATAAAAAATAATCATTATAAATTATAATACAGCAAATTTAAGTCATTTTTCAAAGAGTATGACGCAAAAGGATGACATTAGAAAACTATATTATGATGAGAATAATAGTGATTGTTATTTTAAGAACAATTAAGATATCATTATATAACAAAATCAAAGACGATATACATTTCTTTAGCATTACATTTTCACTAAAAAAATATTAATTTTATTTCGTGTTTTCAACCCAATGTTTTTCTATTTAATTTTATTTATTATAGAGTTCAGTTAATAATATTAAATACTATATTTCATTATTCAATAAAATACACCATTATTTGTTAAACTAATTGAAAGAAAATTATGTTATACTATTAAATATAAACCTAATACTAAAATTAAGTTAAAAAAAATATCACGTGTGTAGCACGTGCATTTTCCTAGTTATTTAAAAAATCCGGCTAAGATCTATTAAGCGTGAATGTTTTTTTTTATTTTTATTTTTATTTTCTTAGAAACAACGAACAACATTAAAATCTTGGTATCTACGTTTATTAAATCCCAATTTAAAATATAACGAAAGTTTTAAAATTTCGGTCTATATATTTATGACTTCTAAAAAAAATACTGAACTTCAAAAATATTCTTTAAATTGCACAATCAATCAAGTAATCTTAATTCTTTAAAATTACTATGTATATTTTTTTATTAATATGCATAGAGTAAAATTAATTAATCTTTGGGTCTTTCCTCTCCTTGAAGTCGTGCTCGATGCGAGAGGTTATAACATATACTTGACTAAAAGGAGAGGCATTTTTTATTAATATGCATAAAGTAAAAATAATTAATTCATCTTTCGATATATAACTAGTGCGGTACCCGTGCGATGCACGGTTTAGTTTTATTAAGATAAGAGTTTAGATCTGGATGATTGGATAATTGTAAGCATATAAAATACATGTATTGGAATAAAAGAAAATGTAACTTGTATATTATTAAACACATTTTTGCACACAACATTATTTGTTTGGTCTTTTGATACATCGTCTATCGCTACAAAATTATATCAGGATTCTAGATAGGCATATATAAATAAATTAAATTATTTAGCAGTATATATATATATATATATATATATATATATATATATATGATTTACACTGGTTTTATGAAGAATGCATAACTAAATATAATGGATATTGTAAAACATCTTTCTTGATCATCTATATCTTTGTTATTTTAAAATTTTAAATTGTTTAATTTAAGGAAGAGAAAAATTGTGAAAGTGTATGCAATCCATTTCAAATTTGTATTCTAGATGATTAAACAAAAACCCAATTTTTTTAGCATGTTCCAAAATCCGACTTTATTTTGAATTTCAAATTATTATCTCACTCTGTTTTATGTTTACAAAAAAATCCAAAATAAAGAAATTAGTAGCCAAATGATAAGAGATAATTAAATTTTATTTGCAATTTGAAATTGGGTCTGATTTCTATGGAATCCGATTAATTTATTTTAATAAACATTATCTGTTGTAATTAGGTAAAGATACATGTTATAGTATTTGCCTAATTTGAAATTTCTGATTTTATTGTAAATATTTTTTTTTTTATAAAAAATGAGAGAATTTTGAATTTTACAAAATTGTCGTGCCGAATTTTACCTAAATTAACTCGATTTTTATGAAATCTATTTTTTTTTAATAAACAAATAATCTGTTGCAATATGAAAAATATATATGTGATATTGTTTTGCCTAATTTAAAATTCTCAATTTTATGGTAATCAATTTATTTTTATAAAAAATGAGAGAATTTTGAGTTTTGAAAATTTTTATGCATCAGTCGAAATTTACCTAAATTAAATCCACAAAACCTATGAATTTAGGGTACATATATAACTTATTGTTTTTTTGGAAATAATTTTAAAAAATTCAAAACTACCAAAAATAGAATGCAATAAATGTTGGTTGACTTTTTTTGTTACTATTTTTTGTAAATATTTATCTCTTTATATAGATATAGATATAGATATGAAAGATTTCATTGGATGACATGATATGTATAGATTGATTAGTACCAATCGTGATTAGTATGGTGACATGATATGTATAAAATTGATTTGTATTCTATTTGTTACGTATCACATTTATTGCATTTGATATTGTTTATTTTATATATCCAAAATTGGTGTTTTAAACAAATGTTATTTATTATTTCATGATTTTGTTTTTTCATATTTAAGGGAAACACGTGAACTGGAAAAAAAAAATCTCATTGAAATGCCATATTTTCTGTTAAGAAAAAAATGTTTTCGTAAAAAATAATTATATCACAACAAATTCATTGGGTAATTGAACAAATTCCTATAATAAAGTCTGATTTTCAATACAAAAATAAAGCAACAACTTCCACATTTTAAAAACATCAATTAATGATTGTCCGTTTTTGCTAAAAAAAATAAAGAAAAATTGCCATTAATGAAAAGCAATTAATGCAGACAAGGTTTGACCAAAAATTGAATTGTTATTTTTTAAAAATGGTAATTCTTTATAT